ACTTATTAGTGATAGCCATCCTTACTGGAGTTTGTATTTCTCTGATGATTAGTGAAGCTGAGCTCTTTTTCATGTGCCTGTTAGCTGCTTGTATGTTGTCTTTTGAGAAGTGTCTGTTAACAGATTGTCCACTTTTTAATGGTGTTGTTTGTTTTTTTTCTTTCACTTAGCTTGGCTTTTACTATTTGAGGAATGTTCCTTCTATACCTAGGTTTTCAAGGGTTTTTTTAATCAAGAATTGATGCTGGATGTTGTTTTGGTTTTTCTGTGTCTAATGATAACATCATGTGGTTCTTGGTTTTTCATCTGTTAGTGTGCTGAATTACGTTTATGGTCTTACAATGTTGAACCTGTCCTGAATTCTACAATACATACAAAGAGGAGCTGATACCAATCTTATTGAAAGTATACAGCCAATTAAGAAAGATGGAATTCTCTCCAACTCATGTTATTATGCTAACATAATACTGATACCCAAACCAGGCAGAGGCCCAACAAGAAAGATAATTACAGGTCAGTCTCCTTGATGAACGTAGATGCCAAAATTCTCAACAAGATTCTAGCAAATCAGATTCAACAACACATTTTAAGTATCATCCACCATGACTAGGTGGGCTTCATTCCTGGATGCAGGGCTGGTTCAATATCTGCACTTTTTAAATTTTATTTATTTATTAATTATTTTCTTCTCTGACTGGGTAGTTTCAAATGACTGTTTGCTGGTTTCCTCTTCTCCTTGCTCTAGTCTGCTATTGAGTCTCCCTTTTGAATGTTTCAATAAAATTATTGTATTCCTTAGCTCCAAGATTTTTGTTTTGTTATTTTTAAAATTTTCTGTATCTGTTTGTTGAAATTCTCACTGTCTTTGTACATTAGAACAATGTAATGGTCTTGTGAGCTTACTGAGTACTATTATTACTGTTATTTTAAATACTCTCAGGTGATTTATATTTATATATCTCCATTTCATTAGAGTCAGTTTCTGAAGTTTTAACTTGTTCATTTGTTTAGATTGTTTTCCTGTCTCTTAAAATTTTTTTTGACACTTTGTGTTGGAATCTACACATTAAAACAATGAAAACCTGCCTCCTCTCACAGTCTTTACAAATTGGCTTCCTGTAGAAGACCTTCACTAACCAACCTGACCAGAGCTTCTGTGGGCCTCTCAAATTTTCACACGTAGTCCAAACTGTTCTTAGCCATGCTCAGGAGTCCAGAGTATGCCAAGTCCCATCAGTAGTCCAAAACAGGCAGGGAAAAAGCCAACCCCTTGGGCAGCTTGGAATGCTGGATGCACAGTTCAACTCTTTTCTTCTCCAGGGAGGAAGTAGGAGCTGAGGTTTTTCACTTGCCTACTCTGTGCCTAGCTTGGGGAAGGAGCTTCAGTGAGATCCCACACACTTGACCAAACCTTCATTTTGCTGTTTATAGTGCCCAGGACTCTAGCATCTGCTAGGACACATCAGCACCCTATAACAGGCAAGATAAAATTAAATCCCTTGGGTGGCACCAAAAAATTGGGGATGCTAAATATGTGGTGCAACTACTTTACTCCTTAGGAAAGACCTGGGAGCTGGGGTTCTCTCCTGTTCATATGACACTGTGCTGGGGATGGGGATATGTCAAGAAGATGTCTCCAGTTTTGCTACCAGTTTCAATGTAACTGGCTTTGTACTTGTCCAGGGTGTAGGGGCCTCTTAAGTAGTTTCTGGATTTCTCACACAGGGAAATGATCCCTGTGTTGTTGTTAAATGAATGTGTCTGTGGAAGGAAAGAGAGTCCAGGGATTTTATACGTTTTTCTTGCTGACATCACCCTTTCTTTTCATATAGATGAAGCAAGGACACCCTGAGAGGTTATATGTTTTTTGTATACAGCTGGTGGAGGGAAGTCTGAGATTTGAACCAAAGCCTGTAAAAGGCTGAAGACTGCATTTATCCTGCTAAATTATCCACCTACTTGCTAGGCCATGTGGGCAATAAAATCTGGAAAGATGGAGAAATACGAGAGTAAATAAAAAATTTTCTTGTTATGAAAAAAGTTCCGAGTGCCCAATAAAAACTTAATATCAGACTGTAATCTCCTTGAGGGATAAAATTGTGTTTCACTTTTTATTACCCACCACGCAGCACAATATCTGATATATGGTAGGTCCTTAATAAAGTCTATTCAGTGTGTGAATGTGACTATTTTTTAATTATTATGTTCTAATGTGGGTTATTATTTAGGTCTACAAATATTCACTTACTCAATAGGAGCTTAGCATCTCTTATGTGCCAGGTAATAGTTTACCTTGTAGGATTATAGTTTTCAATGAGGAATACAAATTTTCTACTCTAATGGATCTTAAATTTTAGTGGGCAAACACATTTTGAAAAGTGTGTGTGTGTCCATGTGTGTTATATACCCAAATATATACATATAGAGAGACAGGTAGAAATTTAAGTTGAAGTTTGAATAAATAGGTGAAATATGTGCAATCTAGAAGGAACACATTCTAGGCAAGTTGTAGAGAGGTAGACTTGAGGAACAGTAGGAAAGCCAGTGGGATCTTGGCACTGGAAATGAGCCCAGCATGTTTGAGGGAAAGTAAGAAAGCAAGTAGGCTGAAAAGAAGTGTGAGAAGTGTGCTGTGCCAGGTCAGAGTGACAACAGGGGCCAAATCATACAGGGGCTGGATTTTATCCTATGAATGATGTGAAGCCATTGGATGGTCTCAAGCAGATAGTGATGTGACCTGATTTGCATTCTTAAAAGGTGACTAGATACTGTGTGGAGAATGGATTGAAGGACAAAAAGTGGATCGGGAAGACCTGTTTAGAAGTCATTGCAGAAACACAAGCAAGAAGATAATGTTGGTTGAGACGTGGGTGATGGCAGCAGTGACAGTGAGAAATGGACAGATGTTAGATGTTTTGGGGAAGCAAAGTCAATATGATTTCTTGTCATGTTGGTTATGAGGGATGAAGTAGTGAAAGCAGTCACGAAGGACTTCTAATTTTGTGTGAAGCACTTGGGAGGGTAATGCTACTTGATGAGGTAGAGAAGATAGTGGGGAAGGAGCAAGTGGGAAGGTGGTAAGAGACATACGGTAGTACAAAGGATGTCATCAGAGACCAAATGAATACTTAATGGCTGTCATTCATCTAAAATGTGATCCTGTGTGTGAACACCCACATTTTATTAGTGACCCTAAGAGAGAGCAAAGAATGTGCCAAGACCATTTGGCTAAGAAGAGGAGGAGCCGGGATTGGAACTCAGATTATCCAATTAAATAGATCCTTTTATCATTAAACGGCACTGCCTCTCAGCACCATCACAGTTGATCCTTGAGGTCCTCAGCCCGTGTCCCAGATTTTTCCTGGATTTGCTGCCCCCTGCTGTTCATTCACTGTAAACAGCTGTAGTGAAGAAGGGATTACTGTTAAGGAAGCTTCTATGTTCAATTAAACTCAACAAAATCTTTTGAGCCCGTTAATCACCGACTCTGTGCAAGGTCTTTGTAGGGAGTATTTCCGAAGAGGCAACAAGCCCTGCCCCCAAGGAACTGTGGAAGTGAAAGACTCTTTGCTTTTTTCTGAGCAGAGGAGTGAAAACTTTAGAAGGTAGAAGGAGGAAAACTGATAGGAGGTGGGCAGGCAGGAATTGAGGGAGACTTCTGGGAGGCAGTAGCATTTGAACTGGATCCTAAAGGATAGGTGATGTTATGGGAGAAGTGACATTTCAAACCAAAGAGATAGTTTGAGCAAGGGCAAAGTGGGATCAGCAGGTACCTGGGACACAGAAGTAGGGAGGAGTAGTGGTGAAAGCATGAACACTGCAACAAAAACACCTCAGTCTTAGTCAGGTTCTATCACTGACCTCTTATGTGACTTTGGCTAGATTTTAAGCCTTGCTGAGCCTTAGATTTTTATTCTATAAAATGGTGATAATAGCATCTACTTTATAGGGTTCTCATGAGGTATAAGTGACTTGATGAATTTGAAGAGCTGAATACAGTTCCTAGTTCATAAAGTGCCATAGGTTGCTTGTGGATCATTGTGAGGGAAAGAAAACCAGGTCGGAACCAAATGTTAGAAAGCCTTGAGTGCCATATTAAAGATTTTCAACTTTATTCTGTAGTCATAGGAACCCATCAAAGGATTATGGAATGGGGGTAACATGAGTAATGTTTCCATAGATAATTCTGTCCGTAATATGTAGAAAGGTAGGAAGCAGATGACCAGTTAGAAGGCTATCAAATTTCCTTACTAAAGGGGCATGGAAGTTTTTCTGAGATCCTGTGAATGCACCTTTTATTTCCACTTATTCACAAATGTTGTAATTGCAATAAAAATGTATTAAAGACTGATTTAGCATGTTGCAAAGGGCTATGGCTAGATGTATTTACTGGGGAAATATATATAAATATATAATATATTTTATTCAGTTATTTATTTAGACAAAGTCTCACTCTTTGCCCAGGCTGGAGTGCAGTAGTGTGGTCCCTGTTTACCACAGCCTTGACCTCCTGGGTTCAAATGATCCAGCCTCCCAAGTAGCTGGAACTACAGGTGCACCACCACACATGGCTTCTTTTTGTATTTTTTTTTTTTGTAGAGATGAGGTCTCATTTTGTTGCTCAGGCTGGTCACAAACTCCTGGACTCAAGCAATTCTTCTACCTTGGCCTCCCTAAGTGCTGGGATTACAGTCATAAACCACTGTGCCTGGCCCACCTAAAGGAAATATTTTAATTTTTCCTGAAAATATTCTTAAACAGTGGAAGTTCCTATAATGTAGAAACATCATACTAGCTAAGACTGAGTGTTCACAAAATTTTGTACAAATATTTTTCCAAATTAGGGATAAGGAAAAGGGTCATTCTTTTTTGGAAATGAGAGCAGGAATAATATCAACAGGGACAAATGGAAAATGGCCCTTCTTTGTTTTTTGAGTAAGCAGTTAACCCAGAAGCAACCCTCACCCATGCACATTTTTGTCTTCCAGGTGGCCTCTAAAAGGAGGTGAAAACAGAAGAATACGGTAATCAGCACACTTTCTTTTAAACTGAAGAGAGTTTATGTCTCTTTCAACACAGCTGCTCTCTTAACAAATTGTTTTTTTTTTCATTTTTACCTGAATTAGTGAGGTATTTGCTCATAAATGTTTTGTGAGCAAGTTCAATAGTAACTCAAGAAAATTGCCATAGCAAAAAATAGAAGAACTGATTCAAAAAAACAAGACTTACTGTCTGCAAATAAATACCTAACACTGTTTGCTTTCTTGAGCATCCATTGAAGTAAGTGTGCTGAGTTCAAGTCCAGAGTATCATTATAATTGAGAAAGAAAGTTGTGACTAGAAGAAAGAGTTGCCTGCTAAGGTATGTACCTGTTTGACCCAATGACTGTGATTGAATTTAACATAACACTTGAGTGAACATTCATTTTCATTATTGTAGCTTTTGGCTAATGTGATTTTTTTAAGAGCATGCATTTATTGTCTTATTTTAGCATGCATCTTCACAATATGGTCTCCAAAACAGTAAAAAAAAAAAAAAAGAAAAGAAAAGAAAAGACATGATCTGTGGCTTGATACATTGGACTGTGACCATACTTTGGGTGAAAAACAAAAATTATGACCCCATAAATTTCTGGCAATGATTTCTTGGTTTAATTTGAATTTAAAACATGAAAACCATCTCAAGAGAATTGGATTTTAGCAACTGGAGTGTGAAGTACCTGATTTGTAAGGCTGTACTTTTCTCTACCACTAGATACTGGTTGAAATCATTGTGACTCTTTTATTGCTTTTGTAAATGATGGTGTTTCAAGGGTAGTGACTTTCTTGCAATCTGCTTACTTACGCTCATACCTACACTTTTTTTTCATTTTCCTGTTTATTTGTCCTGCTGTTATCACAGCAAGTTAATAGTTTCTGCTTTACCACTTCATTTCTGTTGTCTATAATCATAAAAAGCCTGATGGATCAATATGAGGCTTTTAATGTACTTGTTTTTGCCTTTTTCATTAAGGGTTTGTAGCCAGAGTATTAAAATGCAGTGGAGATATAATCTCTTTTGAGCTTGGTTCCCATAAAGTGCTTCCTAGGAAGAGTGAGGGTCCCGGCAGTAGGGATCTATACATGGTGGCTTTCATAAAATAAAGAAGGGAGCTTTCGCTCCAGCAATTTTATGAGACTTTTTTTCCTCCAGGATTAGAGGATGTTGAGCAGATGTTGCCACATCTTCCATTGTGCATTCTAAAGAATTTTCCTCATTTGAATGTTTAATTCTCATTGTGAGGCATGGTTCAAATTTGTAAGATTTTATTCAACTGCATATCTGCGGTGTTCTGGCAAATTATTAACAGCATGCTCTGGGGCAGGGGATAGCCCCAATTTTTAGTGTTTGCTGAGTTTTAAGGGATAAAGACTCCCACAGAGGCCAGTTTCAAGCTGCCAAATGATGTTATTGAATGTGGAATTGGGAAGAGATGCACAGTATCATGCCATTATGTAGGAATCCCACCAAATGCAATACATACAAATATTTTTATGAGTCTGGATAATGATGAAATGCAGCAAAATAATCAGGCAACAATAAATTTTGAGTTTTTATAATCTTTGTTTTTAATGAAATTTATTTGGTTGTAAGTTTATATTATTTAAGAATTGAACAATTGCCTTGCAAAATTCCTGAAAACTTAACAATTGGATCTGACCAGCTGACCCCAGTGGGCTAGTACACCTGCTTTTCTGATCAAATGACCTTTTTTCTACATAAACAATCTGTTCCACAATGCTTCTGACTCTTAAGAGAGAAATCACTGCAGAATTTTCTGGAAAGTTGGCTTCATTTACCAGAAGCACTCAATAAAGCAAGTCAGTAGTGAAGTCATGATCCAAAGGGCAGACCATCTGGGCAATATGCTGGGAAGGTTTGGGGAAGGTCACAGCACCCAAATTGGCTACCATAGCCCTGGACCAGCCAGCAGTGATGTTTTACCATGAGAGGACATGGAAATTATACTATAGAGGTTCAATAATTTTGCTTTAAAATTCAACTTAAAGAAGATGTGCTATGTATTCACTGTGCTGTATACTATTTATTTCTCCTATTCCCTTGGAGGGGGCAGGGGTAGAAAATTTGACTTTAGATCAGCAATAAGAGCTTTTCACATTATTCTTGCTTTAAGAGTACATTTTAGCACCATTTACTGAGATGCAACTGTTTTTGGTGATATACTGTTTTATATATTCACTCAGTCTTCACATATTTATTAAGCCCCTATGGCATGCAAGGGGCTGTGTCAGGCATGGCTATTCAAAGACAAGCAAACTGATCTTCTGTTCTGGAGGTCACATTCTAGGGGAGAGACAAATACATATATAAACCACAATTTAACCCGCTAATTAATATTTTATTACAGAAGTAAAGTTTTATGTGAGCAGTGGAGCTGGACAACAAGGTTGAGATTTTTAATAAATTACTTCCTTGGAAAATTGAGGGACTAAATCAAAGTTTAAAGAAATATCCTAAGAGATGCATGAGGAAGAAAAGACCCAATATTTCAGACTAATTTTAATACCTGCACATGCTCCCTTCTCCTGTTTTGGTAAAGCCTCATTGACAGTGGCATCTGAGTTGTTTAGTCAGCACCCTTTGTTGGAGAGGTTCAGTGATCATTGCTTAGGACTTTGATCTCACTGGGACTCAGGTAAGAACTAAATCATGGCACAGAGTCCCAGTTAGCCAGTCTAAGAAAAGAGGGTTATTTCAAAGAGACAAAGGGCCATAACACAGCAGTTCTGAGAAGCCAAGGATGCTCTATTCTCTTCTCAGGTGCTAGGGCTATTTCCTTTCTGTTTCTATTTTGACTGTTCCATTCTGTTCTCTCTCCCCTCCCCTCCCCTCCCCTCCTCTCTTTTCAGTATAGTGTTCTCATTTTACCTTACACAGGGTCCATGAGGGCCACCCTAGCCCCCTTTGTAGCATTGTAACTCTCCCTATATTACATCCTTTTGACCTCTCCCCCTTATTGCTAACCTAGGAGCTCACCTCCAGTTCAGTCAGCAGAGACCAGACCTGGGAAAGGACACACTGCCCAGAGCATGACTCTTTAGGACAGTAGGGGATCCAGGCAGGAATTCCCCAGAAGGAAGTATAGGTGGGTGGGCATTTTGAATGACAGTGGGCAGGTCCTGGGGACTGCTGGGCCAAGCACCCATCCAGAAGTTAAGTACAACCATGTACTTGGCCTAGCTTCACTATTTGCTACTTGCAGATTTTGAACAAGTGACTGCTCTTCAGTGAGCTATCAGGAAGTGAGATTGTATTAATACCCACCCTACCTGCTTTTCCTAAAGATCACATTGAAAAAAGAAAAAAAAAACTGGCTTAAAATAGTTCTAAGACAGATATACATTAAGCACTTATAAGATTGCTTTGAGAATTTATCTATGTGCATTTTCAGAAACAGAGGCAACATGGGCACATTTAGAGGCAAAGCACAGAGTAACTTCCCTTAAAAAAAACCCAAAAGGTGGTTGGAAGGGAAACAAGATGGCAGAGCAGGGCCTGAAGACACAGGATTGGTTGCAGAGGTGGGGAGATGATATGTGTTACAGGAGAGCCCCTCTCTGCCTCCTGCTTATTCAATTGCTCTGTGTCTTCCTTTAATCCCTTTCTTCCATCTGGCCCAGACACTTTCTGGACAAGAGCAACCAGAAGATGGGAACTTGTGCAGGCTCCTGCTGTTCTACCTTGTCTTATTTTTCCCTGAGGCAATGATTGGAGACTCTGCAACCTGCTTGATAGGAAATAAAAGAGATTTAAAAATTAATGTCCTAAAATATTATTCAGGCATGCATTCTCTCTTCCCTGATCAGTAATGACTTACTGATACTAGGAACCAACTAGGGCTTTATTATCACTGGGTCCATCAAGGAAAAATTGTGGAAGTCAGGAGCCAACCAAACTTCTAGGACAGTGGATTATTTCTTAAAAAAAAAAAAAATTGTTAAAAATCTTTGATGACACAGAGGTGTTTTTAAAATATATATGTTTTAGCCGGGCTCGGTGGCTCAGCCTGTAATCCCACGCCTTTGGGAGGCTGAGGTGAGTGAATTGCCTGACCCCGCGGGTTCGAGACCCACCTGGGCAGCAAGACCTCATCTCTACAATAAATAAAAAAAAATCAGCCGGGTGTGGTAGCGCATGCCTGTAATTCTGGCTACTTGGAAGGCTGAGGTGGAAGGATCGCTGGAGCCCAGCAGGTCGAGGCTGTGGTGGTCGGGAGCGGCCACTGCACTCCAGTCTGGGTGACAGAGTGAGACTCCAACAAAAAAAAAAAAAAAAAGATAAATAAATAAATAAATAAAATATATATGTTTTTAGAGACAGGATCTTGCTTTTTTGCCCAGGTTGTTTTCCTGCTCCTGGGCTCTCGCAATCCTCTCATCTTAAACTCCCAAAGTGGTGGAATTAGAGGCATGAACCACCACACCCATCATAGAGGTGTTTTAATTGAATGGTCATTCATGCTCATTTACCTGCAATGCTGGTGATGGTCTTTGTTCCTTCAGACAATGCAGGGGAATATGCAGAAGAGTGGCAGTTATCAGAGCTGGGGTCAGTGGTCTGGGGATTATTAAGTGCTGCTTGGATGAAGAGCTAGAGCCCGCCTGCTTTTGACAATGTGATGATATCGAGGTACCTGGAGATTCCAAGTAAGTCCTAATGTTCTTGTGATAGAATGCAGTGCACATCCAACCTGCAATTCAATGAACGTAAAACGAGAACTTATTGTGATCCAGAAACTGTGCTCCCTGTGGGGCATAGAAAGAGAAGCAGGATTCATTTCTGGACCTCAGAGCTTATGGTACAGGAAGGAAGATATGGCCACAGATCAGTGCTATACAAGGCAGAGGGTGCTCAGCACTGAGCCAGTTGCCTTCAAGGTGCTATGGTACGCAGGGGAAGTCGCGAGGGGCAGCCTGAGTCAGGGAAAAGGCCCTGGAACCTGAGATTGCAACCTCAGCTGGAATTCTCACTTTGGATGAGTCTCTAAACCTCTCTGTGCCTCAGCTTCTCAATCTATAAACAACAACAACAACAACAACTAGTAAGCAGTCCTTCATAGGTAACCCCTGTGAGAACACCTAACCTAGTGGTTGATGACAGACTTAGCATTCTACAGATTTCTCTCTCCCTACTTGGAGAGGAGTACCAATGTTTGGGGAACAATTTGGGTGCTGCTAAGTCCTTCAGAAATGGCAAAATACCTTCAATATAAGTGAACCCCAGATCAGATAACGTCATCCTTGCATGGAGCAGTGGTCATCACACTGTCCCTCACTCACCAGTATGTTTTTTCACAGATGTACAACTTTCCCAAATTGGGGAATCCTGAGGGAAGAAGAATGAGTGACTAAAAGCAAAGGAAATGGCCCTCATGTATAATGGTCTTGTGGTTAAACAAAATGAATGGAAACCTGGCTTCTGTAGATTTTTCAGTTTTATAAAGGAAAAACCTGTCATAAGCAGAGAGTGTAAGACCTAACCAATGGCACCAATGCTCCAACGGGAGAGAGGTATCGATCTGTCTTACCCTGTGCTGTCAGACCACACCCAAAGGATTGTGTCCTGCTCTCGTTTACATTTATTTTTTTGCAATTTTATTTGTTCTTTATTTTAAAAATTGTGCTCTTCGAAATGCTCCACTTCAAACGAGTGATGACAAAGGGACTATCATTCCAGGAGAACCATCAGAATGGTAAAGAGTCAGGCAAATGCAGTTTCACTTCTATTGAATGAATGTTTAAAAACCTCCGAGGCTATTTAGCCCACCGAGGAAGAAGAGGAGAAGGATAGCTGTTTTTGATTACAGTCGACCATTATAGGAAATATGAAGTCAACACTGTGTGTGTTCTTGTTGGGCAAAACAAAAGTTAATAGGTAGAGGCTCCAGGGAAGAAGGCTTCCCTGAATCAAAATAAGAAGGAATTTTCCAATAAGAAGTGATGTCCCAAAATAAAATAATCAGCCTTGTGAGGAAGCGAGTTTCCCAGTAGAGGAGTTGTTTAAGCAGAAGCTAATGGTCATTACCAGGGGCTTTTGAGTTGAGTAGTTCTCGAACTTTAGTGCAGTAAGGATCACACCCAGAGACCTTGTTAAGTCAGACTGCTAGTTCCAACCCCCTTGTTAAGTCAGACTGCTAGTTCCAACCCCCTGAGATTCTGATTCACTGTGTATGGAGTGGGGCCTCTGCATTTAATTTGCCTTATCTAAGTTCCCAGATGCTGCTGCTGCTGGCCTGCGGATCACATTTTGCATGGTCAGGCTCTGTTAATATATGATGTAAGATTGGTCCAAGTAAACTCTAATTTTTCAATTTTGAGAGACCATGACGGTAATCATAGAAAAAAATATAGTATCTGTATGGATTTAGGCGTTATCAAAATGAACTTACCTGTGAAAATGTATATAAAATAACTTCATATGTTTTCTGTTGTAAATAAGATTTCCATTAATATCAATCGATGTTTATGTTACACAGACTACTGTAAAAGAAGTTGAATGTGATACTGTATGTACATTTTAGTTTTAAAGTGGGTTTATTGTTAGGCTTCATAAACGCAATGCAAAAGCTAAAGTAAGCTTTGCATTTTCTGAATCTAAGCCACTATTTCCCATTTACTTTCTTTAATAGAAATTGAGAAACTTAATGGTCAATATTTCCATAGCAAGGAATATAAGATCCTGTGGGATTTGCGGGAAAGCATGTCCTTGTGACTGGCCTTGGGAATTCTGACTGTGGCACTCAGTCACTCTGCAGGGCAAGTCTCTTTTCTTCAAGTGGAGTCTTGCTGATATGGTAGTCCTCTACCTGCACATGCTGAAGCACAAAGTGTAGGACAACTAAGATTCAAGGGTTCTTTTTATAGTTTTCCACTGAAAACACCCATCTACACACAAGTGTCTTGGCTGAGCCAAATGGATTCCCAATCACCAGAGGAGAAACATTCAGGCCTTTTGCTTTTTGTGAAGATCTCTACTAGTTAACACATCTCTATGGTGGAAGACAACATGGTCATCACAAGGAATGAAGCACAATTGTATGTGCAGATATCAGTTGCAAAAATTATGTTTTATAGCACTGCGTGCATTTGTGAACCCATTTATAGAAAAAAATATATGTATTTATGCGATGTATGCATATGCAATTTCAGAAAGATCCAAGAAACTGTTAACAGTGGCTTCCTCTGGAGATAAGAAATGGGTGTGTGTGGGGTGGGGGAGAGGTGACTTATATTTCATGATTTTTCTTACTGTGTGTGTGTGTGTGTGTGTGTGTGTGTGTGTGTGTGTGTTTGGAGTATTAATTAGTGAAACAAATAATGCAGCAACTTGGATAATTAATTCTGACCATCACTTTGCTACCCTAAATGTAATGGTATGAAAATATCTCTGCAACCTGGAAAGATGATTTAAGGGAATTTAGAATGATCCAGATAGGTGTCTTAAAAATTGCCAATTTTCCAAATAGTCATTTAACAATGCAGTCACTTTGAGGTTTGTGAAGAATTTGTGAACATGTGGAGTTGTGCTCACTTAGCATATAGCGAACAAGTTGCAAACATCAGTTGTTGGAAGTGTGCCGAGTCATTGCACAATAATTGAGTCATACACCGAGGGGAGCTAAGGCATCAAGGTAACTCATCTAAACCAAGGGTCAGGTTTGTCAGTTGCAAACACGCCCTCTGCTGGCTATTCTAAGTAGATCACAGCTATTTTACTGCAATCTGTCTTTTCTATGGTCAGACAGAAGGATCATTTCTTAATTTCAAGAGTATATTATTTACCTATTGTGTGCTAGGTACATACATGTATCATCATATGTGACACAAGTTTTTTATGATTATCTCCACCTTTTGTATGTGGAAGATATTTTCTCATTAAAAATATCCACTATAAAGAGCAAAAAGTTCAGAAAAATAATATGATAAATAAAATATTATTTTAATAATTTGATAGTAGTTCATTGGGTCAGTTATATGTTAAATTACATATATCAATGTTATTGATAAACTATCATAGCATTTTAGAACTTGGGATTGCTGAAGAAATTATTTAGTTCAACACCTTTATTTTAGAGCCAAGAAAACTGAGGTTTTAAGACATTATTAGCTTGTGCAAAAGCCAGCAAGAAATTATTAAAAAGGCCAATACTAAAGGTCAGTATTTAAGCAAAGATCACTCATTTGACAAAGGAAATACATAAGAATTTAAGCTATTTGTGTAGAGATGTATATTTAGAATTTATTCACATAGGAGTAAGTAACTTAAGTCAGAAACTGGATGAGAACACCAGAGAGTGAACTGAAAAGAAAAACTGAGGAAAGCTGATTCCAGTCTTTTGCAAGCTTTAAGATTTAAGAGTCTCAGTTGAGAAAATGGTTATGTTAATCCAAGACTGAAACTGGCAAAGATTAGAAGATCAAGGAGGAAGGAGGACCCAGGGACATCAGGCCCTCCTGGAAGCAGATAAGTAAGAACACAATTCTCAATCTTGAGACACTTGTAGGTTAGCAGAAAAAAAGTATGACTACACCATTTAAAAATTATGAAGTATTGATTTTCCACTTTTTAAATTTAAATTTTAATTTCTAGTTTTTTGAGTCGGGGTCTCACTTTGTCATCTAGGCTGGGATGCAGTGGCACAGTTATGGCTCACCACAGCATCCACCTTCTGGGCTCAGGTGTTCCTCCCACCTCAGCCTCCCGAGTAGCTGGGATATGAGCACGCACCACCACGCCTGGCTAATTCTCTTATTTTTTGTAGAGACAAGATCTAACTGTGTTAGACCTAGGCTGGTCTCTAACTCTTGGGTTCAACCAACCCTCCTGCTTCAGCTCCCAAAGTGCTGGGATTACAGGCACAAGTCACCGCACCTGGCCCCAAGTCTTTTTTTAAAAAAGAGCAACACGCACTGAAACCTGGGGAAGAGTACACTCCTCTTCTTCAGGCCTTCCATCAGTTCACAAGTGGATAACCTCAGCAGGATTTCTAAAGTGGCATTGAGGTCTGGGACTTGTTCCAAAGAACTGGCAACAGTAGGAGATGTTAGAGGTAGAGAAAAGGACAGAAATTCTGGCGCACACTTATTTTCTAGTCCTATACAGTCATTACGCAGGCATGTGCTTGTTTTTTATGGAAGAGGTCAGGCAACTTCCACGTTTTTTCTCCTGTTCTGCAACTGCCCCCCAAGCCCCACTTTGAATGCACTCTTCCTTTTTTTCTCAGCATCAGACAAGGGGCCTGGTTATTGAATCATGTGTGGCATGAAGGCTATTTCATGTACATTGTCTTTTTAACTTATTTAATGGTATCATCAAGATGACCATGATGACATCTATGTTGAAAAAATAGATGTTGAAAATTTAAGATTCAGAGAAGAGTGATAATAGCAAGATGGCTGACTAGAGATGCCTGCTGCTCCTAGCCCCCTGAGAAAGAACCAAGACAACGAAGAAACAACAGACGTGTCACTGGTGTGTCAAGGGGAGAGCACTGGAGCACAGCAGAGGAGGGGAGAGGTACCTGTAGTGATTATAAGCTCAGGATGCCACTGTGGAGCCATGCTACCTCTGCAGCCCCATTTTCATTGCCTAGGTCAGCCTGACATTAGGAGGGACTTTTTTTGTGTGTGAGAAAAAGGTAATCAGA